CCCCAAAACCCCAAAACCCCAAAACCCCAAAACCCCTAACCAATATTATTATGTTGATAATGTACTTCATAGAGAATCCAAAAATGGTAGTGTACTGAAGGATTAGCTCGAGAGTTAAACCTCTTGAGCAAGATCTTCCTTCAAAGATGCTTTCAAAGCATGTAGTTTAGAATAGATTTCACCTGAAATCTGATCTGTAATGTACTTCATCTTTCTAAGAGCTTTTGGAGGCATAGCCTCCAAGCTCATGGAAGATTCTTGAATAGAATACTGAGAGATATCAATGGCGATATCCTTCTTGAATATCAAACTTGATACGAAGCTTGATGTGGGCAAGACTTCAACAGTCTTTGCTTCCTTCTGAGGAAGCATGTTAATAATTTTATCAGCCTTTAAATCTTCAAAATCCCTTTTCTCTTGCTGAGCTTTCAAGGAGGCCAAAGTTGCCTTGGTTTTTCCAGAAAATAATATCTGGAACTCTTCAATAGTGTACTTAGTGTAGTTCTCTGCGAAGAAGAGCTTCTCGTGTCTGTTAAGCTCCTGGTTCCGAAGCAGTTTCCGATATCTGGTCTGCAGGAAGTTAACAGAACGGTCAATTTGGATATCTGATTTAATGAGATTCCAATATTTATTCGTAGTCGGATTCTTTTTAAGGCTATCCAAAAGAAGTTCTGGGTAAATCTTATTCTCCTTCTGAAGCTTCAGAATAGTGCCTACTAACTTCCTGTCCTGATACTTGCGCCATCTATGACCACGAGTCTTCTTCTGAGAGGTGCCTTGGCTGACAGTTTTAATACTCAGAGAGGACCTAGTGTTAGTTTTCCAAAACATTTTGGAAAAAGAGTCTTCCTCAGTTTCATTCTGACCAAAGAGCTCAGCTTCGAAAATATTGAGTCCTGTCATGACTTGAGGTTCTAGATTAAGAAGGTTATTCCAATCTCAGAGGTGGTAGTCCAAGCCAAGGCTTCATAACCATGGCTGAAAATGAGAATTTTAGGAGCAAGATTTGATTTTTTGTAAATTATAAGACCAATTTTAAGATTTAAAAGTAATGAGAAATTATTAATGAGAAATCCGTAGGTATTTTAATAAATTTCAAGAAGAACTGATTAACTTCTCAGTGCAATTGCACCTCAAGAGTGTCTCAAGATGACACCGATGGCTATGGAAATGGGATATCAGAAATCAGTAAGAAATATTGCTGCCAGCAACATATTCTGGACAGGAATCTCAAAAGATAGTTATAAATTTAACTTACCATTAATTCTCAAATGGTCTTGGGCAAACCCATCAAAGTTAGGTGACTCTTTGAATAGATCTTCTTCATCACTATAGAGAGTATTAGAGTATGCAAACGGGAGGGATAGAGGTCCCGGCAAATTATGAGGACCCTGAGGGAGTCTACATCTCAACATTTACATCTGAGGAAAACTTACAGTTGTTTCATATTCCATGGTGTAATCATTTGAAATATTTATATCATAACAAATTTCAATTTAATTTATACTTGAAGGGGTTTTGGGGTTTTGGGGTTTTGGGG